AGAACAGATTTCTGCTTCCTGATTTTCATACAAGGAGAGCTCATTCTTATGGTAGTTTTTGAATTATTTTAATCAACTTTTAGCTTAATTAGAAAGCTAGGTATAGCAGTTTTAGGTCCTTGTATTTTTTTGTCTTAATATTTTGTGTTCTTAATTGCATATTGGAAATAAATAATTATTACTACTAACATAAAAAAACTATGGTTAAGTCTAGTTTCATGGGGATGAAGAACAAAAACAAGAGGCCTTGTTTTTCATGTATGTTTTTTATTTATTATAAAAGTTACTAAAATGTAAAAAATAGAAAATAATTAGGTTAGATAAGAAAAACACAAAATAATTTTTTTTTTCTGTAAGGTATGGATGCAACCTGCTCCTGTGTAACATAATTCAATACTTTGTTTCCATAACTCAAGCTATGCACTCACTGGCTGAGTTATAGCTTTGTTACAAAGGTTTTGTTTTTAGACATGGTTCAAAGAGCATTAAAACAATAATATTAATTGAAAACATATGTAAACTGTTAGAAGCCTAAGGCTATTTAGGATAAATGGTTGTAAATTTCTGCTACAATTTATTTGGTATTTTTTGCAATAGCTTCAAGTTCAATCAAATGAACCAAGTGTATAGTGTTAGGGTAGAGAAAATAATAGATGAAATATAAAATTTTACTGAAAAACTTTTGATCTCACTTAGGAGGTTCTATTCTTCTTCTATAACTTTTCCCGTATCTATACGGGGTCGCTATTTTTGACAGCACGTTTCCACTCTCCTCAGTCTTCGTATTCGTCCCCAACAAGGCCTTTCTCTCTAATATCTCCATCCACGCAATCCGTCCATCTTCTCCTTGGTCTTCCTCTCTTCCTTCTCTCCACCACCTCCATATCCAAAACCCTCTTGCCTATATAACCATCTTCCCTACTCATCATGTGCCCATACCACTGCAATCTTCTCTCCTGAACATTCTTCGATATTTCCACCACTTTAGTTGTTCCTCGAATCCTCTCGTTTCTAATCCTATCAAGCCTCATCACCACACACATCCATCTCAACATTTTCATCTCGGCTACCTCTAATTTCTTCTCTTGAGCCTTTTTGATGGACCAGGCTTCCGCTCCGTATATCATCGCAGGTCTCACAATGGTTTTATAGACCTTTCCTTTCACTCAATAGGTTCTATAAACTACATAAATAAAATATGAAACTGTAAGATGAAAGAAAAGTATTTTTATTTCTAACATGAAAACCACCTTCCATTCAGACTCTCTCTCTCTAAATTCAAAGACAAAATTTCAGTAGAAGTACTATATTTTGTGAAGATACGCTTAATGCTTGAAAAGTTACGGTATGTATAGTTTCATATTAGTTAAAAAGATTGGTCAAAATAACCGAGCCTGTATCTTGAGAGTTAATGGACAATTTTTCTGCTCTGAAACATGTTTAATATATACATAGGTTTATTCAATTAAAATATTCACCTGATTGACACTAAAGGATATTCAACTGATGACTTAGGGCATATAAGCTTTGTGCAGTTTGCCTGTTGCTCATAATTAAGACTATCTATTATTAATTGTATTTATTTGTCTAGAATTTTAGCAGTTCCTTTGTTAAAAGCTGTTACATTAGTAAAATAACCTGTTTCTTTTTAGAGTTGTGAATCAAAGTATAAAGAAACGGCAGTTTAATCTCTCTTTTTTTTTTTCTAAATAAAAATATATTTAATATGACATTTGTTTATCATTTATGTAGCTTAGAAATTTATGATCATGTTAAGAAGTTTCCAAAGCTACAGAAGTTTTAAAAACATAAGAATAATACAAAACTTTATATTATTGAGGTCAGTCTTTTAACTATTTTTGTTTTTTGTGAAAATATTTAATAAAACAAGAGTTAACCTGGAACCCAGAACTACTCTATCAGTCTGTTTATACATGTCATTGTAAAATGAAAAGTGAAATTAACTCTACTTCCTGTTAAGCAAATGTTTGAGAATACCTTCTGTTACATTTTTTTTTAATTTAGTCAGCACTATATGATGTAAGAGTAAAAATCAATTCAACATAAAATCAGATTAAAAAAAGATATGTGAAAATTTAACAGTTTTAATCTACAAATTCAAAGCTTTGTTTTTGAAGGTAAATTAATTTATTAAAATGTAAAGAATTTCTGAAAGAAGTCTAGCAAGAGCATGAATGAAATATTTAATATTCAATACAGTAAATCTTACTGGACCCACGTTTTTTAATTTTTTGTAAATCGTGCAAAATCAACTGAGAACCTGTTGGTCTATCACAATTGTAAACAATATCAGTGGTAATCCCATCCTCCTTTGCTTTCAACAAATACCTTTGTAACTTAACTTCTGTTCTATTAGTGTTAGCATATTTAAAGATATCATTTAAATTGTTTAATCTTTGTTCAGAATATGCACACAGTAACTTTTATCTGGTTTATTATTACTATTTAATTATTTTTAAGATTATTTATGTCAAAACTTCTACCAGAAAAGCTGCAGTAACGATTAATAATAATTAATCTTAATTATAAGTAACAAACAAACCAAAAGAAACCCTCTTTGAACACTTCCCTGGATCTTCAATTAGGTATTTTTGCTATTAGCAGTGTTTTCATTCCTTGGTAGTGGCCTGGTGGTTAATGCACCTGACACGCAATCTTAGGGTCACAGGCTCGAATCCCATCCTTGAACATGCTTGACCTTTCAGTCGTGAGGACATTATTAATGTGATGGTCAATCCCACTATCCATTGGTCAAAAGTTGTCGACTGATGGTGTTGAATATCTGTCTTTCCTCTAGTCTATCACTTCAAAATTAGGGATGGCTGTGCAGACAGCCCTCAAGTAGCCTTCCCACTTGTTGATAGTTTTAAATTAGGGATAGCAGCAAATAGCTTTATTAGATTTGCCATAAAGAAAACAGTCATTTTGATAGTTTTGTTCTTGCTACCTTTAGGGTGATGTTTTTAATGTTTTACATTTGCAGACATTTAAAATAAATGACAGTATTGACCAATATTAATAAAAAATGTCAAATAATGTACAATGGAGTGATTATTCACTGAACTTTGTGGATCACTTGGTTAAGAAGTTTGTTAACTAAATGACCATTTCCACTGCTTAATCATACAGCGTACAGAAGAAAAGTGTTATGTTTATATTTTCTTCTATGAAATACTGTGGACTTCAAACTGTAACCCTCTCTAGACTAGGGGTAGTATCATTTAAATTCACTAATTTTTCCCTTATTACTTTAGAAATTCTTAATTTATTTGTATGAATCTTACTAAAAACTTTCTGAGAAACTGTAGTTTTTTAACTTTAAAAAATCATATGGTTTGATTGACTTTTCTATAGTTTTTTTACATTGGAAAATTTCCAAAATTTTGTTCAATTGTTATATAAAAAAAACATTAAGTATTTCCTCTTGTCTTATGTAATGTTATATTTTGTTATGGAAGAAAATTTTGTAGCCTTCAAAGAAATATGTCATGGAAGTATTCTCAGGTGGAAAAAGAACATCTTAAGAAACAATAAAAAAAATCTTGGATATGTGGTTTGTTCCTAAGTTTTCTAAGCTTCTGACTAGATATTGTTGCTCTATATAAAAGCTACATATAATCACTTTACACCACTTTATTGTCTCTATATTGAAGCAACTAGTTTATAATCTGCCCTAAACAGTGGTATTTAAACTTTGCTTGTAACTATTTTTAAAGTTGATCTTCATTAGTAGTTGTTCATATGACATGCTGTAAGGACATAAAAGGGTAGAAATTGCTCATTTGTCCACATATGGTTTATATGATGAAAAATTTTGTGAAATTATGTGAAGGTACTGTACCTCAAATAACACTTTTATATCTATTCAAACCAAATTTCTTGAGATACATTTTTTATCTCCCCTCTTTCCCCTCCCATTCAGATTTGGGGGATATAACGATGGTGCCCATCCCTATCTCAGATTTGGGGGATATAACGATGGTGCCCATCCCTATCTCAGATTTGGGGGGATACAATGATGGTGCCCATCCCTATCTTTCTATGCAGACATCCACAAAATAAGTAGACTTATAAACAGCAGATTTTAATGCCTTCACAAGACACTTCTTTTGGAGCTGGGAGATAATCCTATTGATTTTGAGGTTAAAGGTCAAGGTCACCATTTCAGAAAATGAAAGTTTGGTTTCTGTGCAAAACACAACATTACACCGAAATATATCCTTAATAGCAAGGGTACCCCACTGATGAAACAATGCATTCCAATCTTTATATATAGGAAAATAAAAGTATATGTAATTAGCTTTACTTATTACTAGTTTGTTTTTAGTTTTGATCTGTGTATTTAGCTTGCTATAATCAAAAGTTAGTATTATTAACCATTAATTACTCATACAAATACACCTTATTTATCAACATACCAAAACAAAAGGTAATAGTAGGAGGTGGAGGGGGATCAGTCAATTATTTTAATGGCTATTTCTTTATTTCAGCTTTAAAGCATTTCAGAGTACAATACGCTTGCCCTGTTTACCAACAATCATATATAGGGTTAACTACCTATAAACTCTGTTTGAACTGAAAAGTTAATATGAATTTTATTTCCACATAGAGCACTGCCCAACACTCCTTAAAAAATAGTGAGCAAGTGATTTTAGAATCATTGGGTCAGTGGATTTAGGCAAAGTACTTTTGAATGTTGTTGAAACTGTCAATTCATTCCTTGCAAATTGGTATACAGTCGCTTGTGATTGAAGCTCTAAATATTTTTGTTTATGAGTCAGACATGTAAGAAAAAAATCTAGAATGTAAAGTTCTTTACAATAGTTTGTGAGTTCCACAGTGGTTACTTAGTTTAATGAACTAATATTCAAATCTGCTAGTTTATTAAAAACTTATTTGATATAATGTAATTTTTTTATTTAGAAAGTTTAATTTGTGATACGAATTTTAAGTTGTCTTTAAGTTTAATTTTTACACAGGGAGCACAGCCATACTTAACAGGACTTCTAACACTGTACAAGACTTATAGACCTGATCTTGTGGTCATTCAACCAAAACAGAAAGTATGTATACCTTTGTATTTAATATAAGTGACTTTGGACATATTTAAATATAGCAGTTAAACTCGTAATTTTTTTTAGATTAAAGAGTAATCATAACTGATAATTTTATAGCTAAGATAAAGAAAATCCCTTGTTATAAAATGATGTCAATCATCTCCTTCTCATATTATTATGGAAATCAGGAATTTCATGATCAAATATGATTTCAGATGCAAAATGTTAGTCATTCAGCCTATACTAGACACAGCTGATAGTCACTATATTCTATAATGAACTGAACTCTAAAGATATAAAACCACCTTTACCAAGTGCTTATCCACAAGCATAAACTGAATGACCAGTCATTTGAAAGTTTTGACCACATGTGCTTGATTTGCATGAAAAGTAACTGAAAGGGTTATTTTATAATAATGGGTTTACCTAATTATAATTAAAATACTCTTAAGTTCTTATTATTCCATAACTGTTTTGTGTAGTCAATATTTAACTAAAATAACAGTTGGTGAGAATTTTGTATTTTATAAATAAAAGAAGTAGTCATGTTAATAGTTAATTTTTGAATATCCAATGAAAAGGATATGTCCATAGAATCTGATGAAGTAGATAGTATTTTGAATAGCCTGTTAAAGTTTTAAGAATTAGTGGTACACAAAACAATATTAAGGTTGACAATTACTTTCAAAAGATATATACTGTTATAAAACAGATCATTCAAAATTAAAAAGTGAGTCAGTTATAACATACACAATCAAAGAAAGGCATGATAATTGCACATGTGTAGAAAGTTCTTGAGTTTATATTGATTATAATTATAGCAATTGTGTATTTTCTAAATTCTTGATGAGAAAATATTTGTGATATTACTTTAACTTCATATTATGTATTATATACTCATTTCATAAATATTCTTGATTCTTTAGAAGTGTGTGTTATACTCTCTCTGTTTCAGAGTAAGAAATTGTTACTTATAGATTACATTTTGTGTGAATTTATTAATTTTTTAAAATGTGGATTACATGTAAAATCCACTTAGTAACCAGACTTGAAAAAAGTTTAAAATTGCTTTCAAAAATATGAAGTGATTTGATTTTGGGCAGTTTATTTAATAATTGATGTTACTACAAATTACATTATATATGTATAAAGATAAATGTTTACTCAAAACAGCAAAAGTTTTTCCGTTCTCTTGGGGGATGGGATTCCTTGATTAAAGAAGTAAAGAGTCGGACCCTTCATATTTTAGCCCCAAGTGTACCAGAAATACAATATACTATGGCACATCAGGAGGAGGTAATTATTTTTTTTTTGTATATTCTCTTAATGTCTACTTAATTTTTTATCAAATAAATCTGCCATATATGTACCTAGTGAGAATAATTTATGCTAAACTTCAAACTTGATTCAAGAACACAATATACTATTACTGTGTATATAAACCATTCTTTTGAACATATTTCATCTCTTAATGTACCTAATAAATAGCAAGTACGTTCTTTTCATCAAAACAGCCCCAAGATACCTATATTAGACTATGTAGCAATATCCTGTCATATGATCTCTGTAAAATACTTGTACCTTAGGATGACATAATCTTGTCAAAATGTTGTACAGTTATAATAAAGTTTTTTCATTATCCAGTCAATCCATCTCAAAACTTTTCATATCTGATTTCTCTATAATCTTTTGTTAAGAAGTTTTCAGTGGTTTTTCTTAGAGCTGTGAAATGGATTTAAATTGCACTACACCAATAATAACAGTGACAAACATTCAACTTTGTCTTGAAAAATTACACCTAGTTGTATTTCCAAAGAATTTTTTATATTATTGATATTTATGTTCAAGCTTCATATATCCTTTGGATATTTGCCATTTTGCTTTTTGATGATTGCTCAGAATTTGGGTAGTGTTTCCATATAATTATCTGACAGTATTAATTACTGGTGGTAGACTGAGGTTCTTCATAGGAGCATAAATAGTCAGAATTGTTAAAATGCTGTAAGCCTAGCATCGACAGTGACAGCTCATATTGGGATGATCAGTTTCCTTGTGGGAAGACTGTAGACAAAACTATCAGACAGTCTATAAACTGCACATTGTGGTTTAAGTTATGAAAGGTCACTGTGCTATGTAATGCCCTGTGTCAGTACAACATGGTTATTAGGTATAGTGGGTCCCCGTTATATGTTGCATTTCTCTGCATCATTTCATTATTAGAGTGTTTAACAGTTACCACCTAAATATCAAACAACATTGCCATGTTTCATTACTAGAGCATTCCAGTGTCATTGACTACTTTTCCAGGTGTAGTGTTTACCAATTACCACCAGTATTTTTGAAACAATGTCACCTTGTTTCACTACTAGTGTTAACCCTCTCTACCCAGACATCCTTTATTGCGCATGTCACAAAGGTTTTAGTGAGTTACATTCAAAATTTAAACTAATTTTTGTTTAAGTTATACCAATTAGTATAGCATAAAATTGTAGCTAATAAACCACATTTTATTTGTATACAAGTTTTAAGTTCTTAATTTTTTAAGGCAATATTTAAAAAAGATCCTGAATTTCCCTTAATATGAGAAATGTGACATTTTTTCTGTAGGCATCCCCTCTTCTTTAATTTATTCGTCATCCCTCGATTAAGTATGACATTTAGCATAAATTACTCACTATATTATTGTCAATGCTCTGACAAAGCATAATTTTATTAGCTTTCAATCTTGTTTTGTTACAAGCTTCATTCCCATGGGAAAGATATCACGTGGTCGGTCAATTCAACTGAGCCCGGACTACTTTACCAGTACTGTATTACCAATATGTGTGTGAAACAACTTTGCTTTGTCAAGATGGTGGAGGATGTAAATACATTGTGTTTGCGTGTATGTTTTGTAGAGTACATTGTAGTTAAAAAAAAGCCATGTTACACCCTTTAAAAAAGTTATTCAAGAGTGGACTGAAAAGTTTCGGGAATGCATCCTCCCCATAATACATGTAAAGATTGTGTTGCTTAATGTTGTTTCCATGAATGCATCATGATGTATAATAGGTACTCCCTGTATTACCATTTTATTGCTGATGGACTACATATGGTCGTCAGGATAATGGCTAGAGTGATTGTCAATGCCCAAACAGTGAAGAAGAGGTTTCATAAGGTTAAGAAGCACTGTCTTACTTATGAACAGCTTTCTTTAATAGAACATCTTAAATATGACTGTTTCATTGAGGGTTTAATTATGATGCATATGAGTAGGTAGACAGCTTTTATTGTTTACTAATCAATGATATATTAATGTGATAGTGAACCATCTTGTACAGACATATCCTGACACAGGGACTTGCACTACTAAAGCTATAATGGATCACCATGAAAAAGAAACTAGAGGTCATAATTGACCACAAAAAAGTTTAGTTTTAAAACTCATGAAACACTTCTGGGAAATCCTTGTGCACTGTGTACATTGATACCTTTACCACCACACATTGTCAAAAATCTTGGCATTGCACTGAATAAGAAATGAGACTAGTTTCATGTTATCTTGCTTGTTAATTGATCAGACCTATGCCCTATAAATGCAGCCACTATATTAGTGTCAGAAGGGTTCATACTCATTATTATTATTATTACTGAGAATATCTTTTTATCTTTACCAGAAATATAAGTATCAGACCTCTATGTGCACAGGTCAGACCACTGGACTGATGCCCATATTGAAAAACTAATGTTTACTATAATTTCAAATTTACAAGCTTTTTTTATTTTTACTTAAGATTTGTCTGTGAATTTACTAAATCATTCTGAATTAGACTGTGACTAATCTGAGTAAAAAGTGATTTTTCATGTTAAGAACAAAAATACTTTTTCCCATCTTACAATTTCATATTTCATTTGCATAACCTCTAAAACCTCCTAAATGATTGTCAAAAAAATTTTCTGTAAAACTATATTTTATTTTTTACTTACTCTACCCTAAAACTAGCTGTACCCAAATAATCTGTGGCAAATGTTAAAAAATATGAAATCAAATCAAAAATACATGTGTTTTTTTTTTATACTACTACTACTACTTCTAGAATGACATCATAACAGACAAGTGCTTTAACTTTTCACAACTACCTTCATTTAATTTTAATGCTCTTTGAGCCATTTCTAACTATTGTGACAATCAGTAAATTACTGGGTGGCATAGTGCAATATATAAATAGATCAGCTTACATCATTCACTTATAAGTGCTTGAGGAGTGATGATTTTTTTATTTGTTTTATTTTTTCATTCACGTTTCCTTATCTAACCTAATATGTTTTTAATTTTGCATTTGAGTTACTTGTTAAAAGTTAAATATCAATAAATAAAAAATATACATAAAAACAAGAAACTTATCATGTACTTCAGTAAGAATTGTTTCACACTGTGTTGGTTGCCCAAAAAATAATTCATATAGTTTATAAATATGCACCTTAAAACACAAACAGTAATCTAGACAGTAAAATAGAATGCCCCAAAACTACTATAATTTATCTAGCTTTCTGTGTAACCTATAAATAGATTAAAGAAATCTCATTGCTTACTAGATCACTGACTTCTGTCTACATACAATAAAATCTGCTTGAGAAATGGTACCTTTTATCAAGATAAATTAATATACAGTCTTTCTGTTGATTTTAAACATGTTCCACTGAAAAGTAGACATGAAAAATAAATGTTTTGAAAAGCACAGAATTTAGAGGAGCTTTTATGGTGAATGTAATAAATTTATCGATATCTCAAAATAAAAAGGCAGGAGGTTCTTATTTTAAATTTTGGCCTGTTAGTATCTATAGTTGGTGTATATAATTGTTGGACATTTTGAGAATTTATTTATCTATGTACTTTTGAAACTAAGAAACTAAAATTTGAATTATAAACTATATTTTGATTTTGAATGTAACTGTAAAAGAGTTGTGACATGTGCACTCCCACCATACACATAAGGTTAATTCAGTCAGACCATAAATCTACCATTTTGAGGGGATTCATGTTCCACAAGTTGTAACTAGTAATATGTTTTTAATGGAACTGATTCATTGAATAAATGGTGCTCCTAAAATAAATATCATTTCAGCTCTATTCTTCATTTGGTCCAACAATTTAACTAAAATCATACATCCCATAATTTCATGAAGTAGTTTATTTTTTATTAAAATCTTGTTATTCAATTATTTGTCAGAAAAACATGAGGCATAAAGTAATCGATTTGCCTTTGCTATATAGACAACACATTGATTGCAAAAGCAAAGTTAATGCTGTACATTGTAAGCAGCTCTATATATGTCTGTATAAATTTACAAATATAACTTGTACACTTTAATTTGATTTATATTAGTATAATATCAAATAATTACCATGACTAGAAAATTTTACACAGAAAACTACAAAGCTGGATAACTTCTGTTTTTATTATTACTTTTATACTAATAAACTAAACATTAATAATAAAACTAGTTATTTTTACTAACTAAAATAAATAACTTTTATTTTTCCATGTTCATTATTAGGATCTTGTAAGGCCAGAGATTCAGTATCAGCCAGTTCTCGGAAAAAATGGGATTAAAACATTTCAAGAACTGCAAAGTTTGTTGGAGAACTTGAAGGTAAGTAAAAGTACAAAAATAGGTCATCATAAAAATTATGATCAGAAACTCCAGAAGAACTATATTAATATAGAAATTTTCAGCTTCCACCTTTCTCAAGTATTAAATGTCTACTATTATTGTTTCTTAATTCAAATGATACATTATAGAAAACAACAGTGTACAAGAATGAAATATATATTAGTTGAATTATAACTTACAATAATAGAACATAATTAATCCTTGAAGAAGGTGGGAGCTGAAAATGTGGATATTAATTATATTTCATTACTGTGTTCTCTTCTTTTCATGATCATTTTTTTGCCTTGTATCTTCATTAAGTGGACACATCTAGACCTATTAAATCAACCAGGAGTAAAAATAAGACTATAACCCAGACTAACTACTGTAAACATCTTTCTATACCAGGTACTGATGAAATTATAAACTAATATTTAAATATTATGCTTGTACACATTTAGAAACAACTAAGTCAAGGTATTTATATATTCTTTTGAGATTTTATCCTCCTATTTTTTTCTAATTCTTGGAGGTGTTTGTATAACTAACATGTTGTAAACTGCTATAATTTATTCTTATGATTTGTACATCTAAAATTACAAGATATTGTGAATCACACACAGTCTGTCATTTGTAGTTTTTCCTATTATGCTATTATAAAATGAGGGAATCCTCAATAGCCATGGCTGTAATTAGATCTCAATTCTGTCAAGAAATGGAGCTATAAGCTATAAGTTTGTACTTGAAAAAAAAAAACTCAAAGCCATTCTATGAGCCTCTATGCTGCAGCTAAATATCTGTTCTAGTTGAAATTTATGTCAACTCAGTAAGAATATTAAAATATTTCAAGTTATAGTACATTTGTCAATAAATATACAATTATTCATTTTCTCTAATAATTGAAAACTTGTTTATTTTACAAAAAGAAACATTTTTAACAATTTATTTCAAGCCACCCAATGGAATACTGTCCGTTCTTCGCTCCCCAGCTCGTCGAATAATTCTCACCAGTTGCACTGACCGAACCCTACTAGTACGAATGAAGTTTCTCTTGAGAGTGTTACTGTTTGATGGTATGTACGTACTTGATTATATTATAGATGATGTGATCCAATTTGATCAAGACAAGCTCTGTAGGCACATAAGAATTTATATTAGTTATTTTTTATTATAAAAGGATGGAAATGATATATATATATATATATATATATGTATATGTGTGTACGTGTTTGATATCATCATCATTCATTTCTGTTTGAACAAAATATATTTTACCAAGTAAAGGGAAAATAGATTTATTTAGAAAGTTGCAGTATGTTATTGAAAAACTATAAAATAATATTTTCATACTGTAGTTTCAACATAAATAAAATAGAAGTTACAATATTTGAATGTTGTTAGCCTCTTATCCTAAACAGCATTACAGTATACTCTAAAACTAGAAATTTATGACCTTATAACACCAAATTGTTGTTTTTATTTACTTGGACACTCATCTTTTTGCTTTATAGCTTTTTCAGGAGCATTCCACTAAAATACAAACCATAACTAACAGTACAAGTGGTTTAAATAATAGATTCTAATCGAATCTGTAGTGTGCATTTCTACATTGTGCATTTGATGTATTAAGTAGTAAACTTTATTTTTGGAAGAAAAGTATTGTTGGAATAATGAACTGTTACTATAATAAACAAAAGTTACATATTGAAATAACAAGATGGGATGAAAAAATAAAATAATTAAAAATATAGGTGCCATTCTTTGTCTGTGATTGTAGTTGTCTGATGAGAAGAGCTTCTTTGAATTTTCTATTAGTGTACTTGGTGGCTTTGGTGAGGATTTGTATGGAGAATGGTGTTTTTAAGTCAGGCGTTACTTGTCTATGATTAGTTAAAAAATGATCCGCAACTGTGCTTCTCTCATGTTGTTAATTATTTCAACAATAAGCTTTAGTACTTAATATGTCAAACACCTGCTGTAGAAATGCATACTATGGATTTGATTAGAATTTATTATTTAAGTCATTTGAAACTTTGTTCTGTCAATTACAGTTTGTGTTTTAGTGGAACATTCCTGAAAAAGCTTTAAAGTGAAATGTTGAGTCTCCAGTTAAAGAAAAACAATAATTTGGTGTTGTAAGGTAATTTATTTCTTGTATTAAAATGTCTTCTATACACCAACATGCACTACAGAAATAAATAATGAGACTACGGTGTATTTATAATTTTTCTGACACAACTAAACATTACTACTCTGTGTTATCTTATTGTTACATAGAAAATAAAAATAACATATGATTTATAAATTAATCTTCAAAAGGATTGCAATGAACTAATATAACTGTTTCTTCATGCGTATAGATTTTTGTGACTTGTTTTCTATTGGTATGTTAATGTTGTTCTCAGGCTTATGACTTTCAAATTACATCAAATGGGTTAGTAGTAGCTTATTGCCTATTCACAAATGCAAAGTAAAAATTGTCTGTATCTCCTACTAAATTTGATATTATTTAATATTAAATATTAGAAAAATCTGTGAATTTATAATATTGCCAAAAAATATACATTTAAACAATAAGAAACTGTTTTGACTTATAAATACTAAAAACCTTCAATCACCACCAAAAAATTCAAGTGTTTATGGGATAACCTCACAACTAAAATAATTAGCTAATAAAAAATTTTAGAAGCTGAAGCAAGTTATGATAGTTATCAGGCCATCTTTAACCACAAGAAAATAGAACAACTTAAACAAAACTGCAATATGAATGATTCTTGTATAAGTAAACCAACAGAATATGTAATAACACTATGGTATGTATTCCTTTATCTAGAACCATTTCACTTTGCTGAGGGTAAAAAACGGCGAGGAAAACATATCCTGAGAACACTTACAGATATTACTGAAGAATTACAGGTTTTACATATATCCTATTTATATGTATGTGTGTGTGTGTGTATATATTATTTGCCATGTTGGCTTTGATTAGGGAATGATATATTTATAAGTTGTTTCCAATAAATTTTCTCAATACAAATATATATATGTATGTATATTGCTTAGAGAAAAAATATTATAAGTACCATCCTCCCTTTTTAAAGCGGGCAGAATTAATCTGAAATTTATTTTGTTAATTTGATCTTAAAATATCAAATACCTTGGAACCATAAAATCTTACTTGACTGATACCAAAAATGTGTGAATAATTTAAAATAATTCACTATAAGTTATTCTGAAACATTATTTTATGTTTGCTGTATATATATATAAAACAATTTTCCAGCATAATACTTGGCAAAGGTGTTTCAGTTCAGTTTATTTGTTATGTATCAGATTTGTTGGTTAATCCTGTATATAGTAATTTCTACTGCTTATTCTAAACAAATGTATTGTAAATCTATTCCTTCATGCCTTGAAAGTTAAGTTTTTTATGCTCTTATTAAAGCACAACTGTTATTACCTTACTACACTACAAATGTTTAATTTTGGCTTCCATTTGTATGCAAATAAGATAATATGAAATGTTTGTGTTTAATTACTAATTAATTATCTGTTGCACATGTTATGAAAATATGGTTGGAAAAATATTTTATTTGAATTTCTTACTTTAATTGATTTTTATTGCACAAAAAATTGTTTCTGTGAAATATACTTATTTAGACTTAACTGAAAGAAAAGAGCATTCAGCTACAGAACTGAAGCATTTGTATGTGTATTAAGCAATAAAGATTTGTTACCTGTATCTTACAATGTGTAATAAATCAAAAATTGTACATATTCAGCAATAACTAAGAATTGTTCATGTTAGCTTACAGATTGCAGTACAATAAAAATATACTGCAGTTAGTACCTATTAATAACATATTACTTGCTGATATCAAAACGTTGTACATTTAGTTACATGTAATAAAGTAATTTTTGTTACCCATTCAAGTCATCTCTAACCTTTTAATATTCTCTGAGTATTTTGAAGTGAATAATTAGTAGTACTAAAAATGTTCATACATTTATTTTTAGGTTTTCACAAAGTTACCTGCTATGGGTGTCATTAAAAACTGGACTTGGCCATGGCATCATAACATGTATCTATACTTACTGTTGCATAGATTGTGTTAATTTTCACTACTTTAAAGTTTAGTACTTTCAACACTGTGATATACTTTTTTTTTGTACAGGAAGGGATACCAGAAGTTGAAAGCTTTTTGATGCACTATCTACAAGTTTGGAATGGGCTTCAGTGGAGGTCTTCTGTTTTAACGTTGATCAGTCGCTGGCCTCTACGGCCATTTGTGGAGCTTAAGGAATTTGTTTTAAAGCCAGTTCATAAATTATTGTGTTCTTCATCACTGGAATTTCAGGTTAGTAGTGAAAATGTTTTGTCTGTAATTTTGTTTCTGTCAGTTTAGTAAGGTTTATGTGAAATAACTATTAGGTACTAAATACTGCCATTGTAATGCATTTCTTGTACTTAAGTTTGTTTTTTAATTTCCTAGTATAGTCAAACCAAAATTTGAATTTATGACTTTTTCAGATAAATTTAAATAACTTAGATATATTTTCATTTTTGTGTGTTTTTGCAGTGTTCCATCTTGGAATGTCTTACTCAACTGTGTAAAAACTGGGCTGTGGTGGAGCTTCCCCGTTACAAACAAGCCAAAATGAGGCAGGAAACTAACGTGGATGAATATGTCCCGGTGATGTATGTCACTAATTTTATCTTGTAGTTTTAAAGAAGTTACATGCAGAGACATCTAAAAAATTCTAAGAACTTGTGAATGAAAGTAAAAAGGACGCATAAAAGTACGTCAACCATGTTAATCTGCTATATCCAGTGCTGACAAGGCCTTTTACCCAATACCAGAACTCATCAGGCTGGCAAAGATAAAACAAACACAGTAGAGGTTGAGAGATTATTTATATTATCAAATTGCATGAAAAACAACTAGACTAAGTTATTGAAATATAATTGTTATCAATTTCATATGAGCCATTTACAAGTCAAAATTAAGGTAAGGATTAATAACACGTTATTATTCATTTATTTTAACACCAGTTATTTATTTCTACTTGATATACCTCATCATTCTGAAAGAACTAGCAAAACAGCAAGCTAGTTTTATGTAATGGCTTTGAGTTAGTTTGCTAATATAATACTATTAAAATCTACAATATTTATCATTTTGAAACTTCACACAGGGAAAATAAGATCTCAGGATTTTGTTTCCTAACTACAGCCTCAACCCACATGTGAAACAAAAATCTGTATAATCATATACTACATGCTTATTTGCTGAAAACTGTGAATTTTCAAGCTTCATAGTAGAAATTTATATACACATGAGAATCATTGTTTGGAAATATAACTTTTTTTTTCCATTCATATTTGGTTTTGGTAGGTGTTAGAAGTAACACAACTAATACTTTTGTCAAACATGTCATTGGCATATAATAAATTTATTTATTGTTCATAGCTAGTGTAAAATTGACCTTGGTTGATCAATATGTTTCTCTATCAAAGAAGTCACACCTTCTTTTTATGTTTGGCTTTCATATTTAATAAAACACATTCATTTCTAAACTTGGATCAATTTTAAAGATTTCATTCCTTGAAAATAATGCTTTTCCAGTAGTAGTCTTATCTACGTAATATTTAAAGTCAAAACACAAAATATAATTTTTTAAGGATTTCTATTGTTGAACAGGTTCTTTTGGATTATTTGGTAAAAAGAAGAATGCAATGTCCATTCCACTTAACAATACGTAAATAGGTTTATTTCTTCAACTACAAGTTCCATAGTGTTTTATGTGGCTAATGATAGGCCCAACTTCACAGTAGACAACAATTTCACTTACTTCCTAATTTTTCTTGTATCTGTAACACTTCTACCTCTATTGCTTTGTTGCAATCACAAACTCAAAATATAAAGCAATGAACTAGCAGCAGTCAAATAGATTGGTTATTAGCTGACTATGAGAATCAATCAAATGTTTCTCTACTTCAGACTCAATAATCATTCATCAATCCACTCTGAAGAAAACTTCAGGCATGCATCCCTCATGTTGGAAAGTACACTAACACTCTCAATTTAGGGATGACACAGACACCCGTGTTAAAGCAATACAAAATTCATCTGGATTTTCTTCTCTACGGGTCATCAAAAGCTTGTTATGAACAGAACTACCTGGCATAGTTGGTCTATCTTTTTTGCAAATGTTATGTTTCAGCTATCTAGAGCTGAAAATTGGCAAATAGCCAAAACAGTGATTCATCATCATCTTTTTTCATCTGGCTTAATACCTTCCTAGTTCTAGCAGTAACTATAATTTTATTATTATTATTTGCAAAATTAAAAAAGAAAAAAAAAATCAGAATTATAGTGTAAATAATGTTATCATTAGCCCTAGAGATTATCTTTCTTACAAAAATCTGGTGTTCCTTTAAAAAGCTTAAGTACAGGGTCAAACAGGAATAACAGCCAATAGCAGATGAACATTAGATGACTGTAACGTGTATAATACTCAAGGCTTTGTACACTATACAATCAGTGTCTTTTCGGAGCAAACCCTTATATTATGTATGAAGTGAAGGAATAAAAAGATTAATACATATACAGGTCATCAGAAGCTAGATATGAAGAGTTATCTGGCATAGCTGCTCTATCTCCATTATATATACGTAGCTTTTAAACTCTCCAGAGCATCCCAAAGTCGAAAACCAGTGAATAACCAAAACTGAGTTTTCTTCTTTTCATTCATCATCATCTTTCTTCAACAGGTGTAGCACCTACCTAGTTCTAGCAGTAACTATAATTTTATCATCATTTGAAAGAGCAAAACAGTATTCACAGTCTTTGACTACCTATTTTATTATTATTTTATGCAAAATTTCTAAAGTAAACAAAGAAGTATAAGAAAAAATTTATTGCCAAATAAAAAAAGCTATGTAATGCTGGCTACTGAACTTGAAAAAAGGAATCAAACAAGATAGGGATGGAAGTGGACATATCATTTGATCAGCTAATGATCACATGGCAGACTTAACTGTCTTGACTCTACATGGAGAATAAAACCTTACATTACTGGCTTCTTCACTGGGAAAACAAATATAAACAGAATTTCCAATCATAAAATGCTACTCTATTATAAAATAGTCATAAAATTAGTATTTTAAAGTTAACTAAAGGAAAGGTATAATGATGAAAGCTGAAATTCTATTCAAACACCAAGCTTTAGATAGACAAAATGGGGAAGCCAGTAGTGTATGGATTTTATTCTCCATCTAAAGTTGAAACAGTTCAGTTTGCTTTGTGATTATTAGCCGATTAAGTGATATGTCCACTTCCATCTCCATATTGTTTGGTTCCTTTTCTCCAGCTCAGTAGCCAGCCCTACATATCTTTTTTATTTAGTGATTTTTTTTTCCTTATAATTGTGACATTAAACTTTCCTCTGGCCAAAACACACAGCTTACAACAAAACTTCCATCTGCTGTTGTTAATATTTTAACCAATGGCCCACATGGTATAAATAAGCTATACAGTCTGATAGTTCATGAAATATAGACACTGAAAAAGTGTACTTCAACGAACTAGTGAGTAATATTGGCTGGTTTCATTACTGTGTCAGATTTCAGCATTTAACATCACAACAGAGTATAATTCTGTTGTGTAGTATATGCGATAAGTATGAAGATACATATATTAATTGCATTACATAATGCACACACACACAAAACTCAAACGTTGAATAGTATTAATAATAATCAGGCAAATAATTTGTAAGCATAAGGAAAAGTTTAATTGGTGATGGAACATACTACATGTTTTGACAGATCATTGGCCTGGTATGATCAGTACTAAGCAGTACAAGGTTTATATATTGTTATGAAGATAAAAGACAGGGATTAAATGTCATAGAAATGGTGTCGGCAAGGGACAGAATATAGGAAGAGGTCAAGTGTGTGAATGGTGAGTAGATCTTGTCAAATACGGCTGATGTTGTTAGGGCCTCTACCTATATCCTTTTACCTGCTGATACCCTTTCTTTATCATTTAATTTCTGTTTCTTTTGTCTTTGTAACACTATTTAAGCCTTGAATTGCTTAGTACTGATGATACCTGAAGAAGACAGACCAATGTCCTGTAGAATATAGTATGTTCCACCATCAATAAAACTTTTACTCATACTTATAAATCGTCATTTGCCTACCTGTTATTATACAAGCATTATTGTGAGGACTGTAATAATAAATAAAAGTTTACAATCATATATTTATGAACGAATATATGTCTTACTTATTCAAAACTGGAGAATGTGCATATGTAATTTGGTGATATTTGTATATGACATAATGTTTTTGTTTTTCTTAACCAGGACTGCTATGGATTTTGTAATTAGGCAATGTACTGTATGGGGATCAAAAGTTGATTTTCATTTGTGATGTTTTAGAGCTTGGAGATAGGTTTTTATGCATTTATGATGTTTAAATAGTTTGTCATAGCTTATTGTATTTCTCAATGGCATTATAATAAAATGGAAGATATCCCAAGATTTTAGGCTTTTTGCCATTCACCATTTTTGTCTATTAAATTCTTGCAGTATTTACTATTTTAGGTGGAAAATATATAAAGCTAAATTTGTGTCTGTTTGTCTGCACCTTTTTACCCCTATAATAGTAGGCCTATAAAGATATTGAATCAACATTCTCAAGTTTAATGTTTGTGACGTAACATTTTTATTGTCAATGAAAACTTTGTAATCTAATTTTTTCCACAGAAGATGGATAGGGTTTTTGTCTGATTTAAGTGGAATTGACATCAGAAAAATTTGTGTATTTTATAGAGAGATGTGCTGGCACTGTGGTGTCAGAGTAAAAATCCATCTAATGCTGTTGTGTCTACTGACAAACAAGAGTAACTTTTTTATAGAATAGACAAGTTGAACCCATGAAATTCCACAAAAATATATTAGTTTTTATTCGCTTTATTTTGGGAGGAGAGTTAGGTATGATAAATATTTCTGACTCTGATTATCAGAGTAAAATGTCAAGAAATGCCAAGAACACAAGACCTTTGTTTGAACCTTTCTGTTTAAAAATATCTAAACATCAGCTCTCTGTTCAGGTAGTACCCGGGCAACGCCAAGTAAGGGCGGCTAGTAAAAATATAAAACGCAACCTACTTTTTGAATCTCTTCTCTGTACAGGATATGCACTTAGATATATTAAGTTTTCTACTTATATATATGGCACATACACACTTCATATTACAAAATATTATCACTTCTTTCACAAAAATACTTCATTTTACCAAAAACATGAGTAATGCAAAAATGTTTACTTGGGGCAGACATTTATTTGGTCACAAGTAAATTTTGATGACAATTGGTTGGTTTTGCATAAAGTCATGGTTTTATAGGATCAATTAAATTATCCCATCATCTCAAAACTTTTATTTTACTAAAGAAAGTTAGACCAAAGTTTTACAATTGTGAATCATATTTGCCTCAATGTCGAGTAATAAATTATAGTGTTAGATTTGCTGATATACACTTATAAATGACACAGAATTAACAAAAATAACATTAAAGGAATAGTTAGATATGGATTTATGTTGATTGATTTGTAGAAGCTATTCAAAATATTTTGGGAAAGTGTGAAAATCAAAACATTATCATCAACCAATGAGGATGAGTCTAAAA